CTGGAAATGCTGTTTATAGTTTTAATAGGCCTGTGAATATTTAGATATAATAGCATACAGTATTACTAGTATTATTTCTAGCTATGACGCTTGTTTCACAAAATCGTCACGAAATCCGTGTTAATTTGGGTAAATGATAAGAAATTAACTTTCTTTTTTGTAGATGCTTAATTCAAGGAAACGTCAGGGTGCAAGTGGGTTGTGCAATGAGAAGCGACCCAAGACAGAGAGACAACAATTAGAAGTTAATGTTGATGCGCTGGGAATGAAGATTATGTGCGATGTTCCCGGCGATGGCTCGTGCTTTTTCCACTCTTTAGTAGCACAGTTTGATACATTAGGCATCATAAAGTATCAGAACAAATCAGCATTTGAGCAGGCGGCTCTTCTCAGAAGCGATTCAGTGAAGTTTTTTCAAGATTTGGTAAGCATTTGTGAAAGAAGTGAAAGAAGGAACATACTATTTCTAGACAAGCTAGAGAAGCCAAAAGGTTTCAAGACATCGTCTTAAAACCGTTTAGTCTAAGTTCAGTGGGTAACAGTCAAAAGCCTAAAATAGACGTATAGATATGCAAATAATTGTTAATCTATATATTTGAAGTTTTCATTTCAGTTTTCATTTTTTATTTTGAAAATGCAATAATATTTTCATTGAATGCGATGACATGTGTATTAACTTACAAAATAGTAGATACCGTGTTGATAGGCAAGTTGTTGGTTCTACGAGTACAAACATAGCTCTCAAACGTGCAGTGCACACCGGGAGTGAACTTGGTGAAGTAGTTAAAATATTTTCCTTAAAGTAGTATCCTTCCCTTCCTCCGTTTGTGATTGCTAGTCTGTCGGTATGAGCCCTAAAAAATGTGATTTTTGATTAGAAGACCAAGTTATCCAACAAGTTTAATCAAAATCTTGTTTCCTTCTTTTTTTCTTTTATATATAAGGATGATGCTTCCGAACTGATGACACAGCTGAATGAGACTGGTCAGTTGCCCAGTAATGCTGAGGTGAAGAAGATGAAGTCGCATGGTGAATTCGCAGAGCAATGGGTAATTCAATCAGCTGCCTACTTTCTAGAGAGGGATATAATAGTTGTCAGTAGCAAGGAACCATCAGGGTGTCGCGAAGCTGCTTCTGTTCTCTTTCAAATCGATTGCAAAACACCCGGACATTTGCAACCATTCCGTGTTGGGCACATTGTTGAAGGCGTCCACTATATGCCTCTAGGTAAGTTTTTTACAGGTTACAATAGTGGCGTGGAATGAGAGGTTGCAGGGGTAGACCGCTTCCTTGGACACGGGACGTAAAAGATGATAGACTTGGAAGGGGGAAAGAGGGAGAAAGAGATCAAGAAGGAAGGGGGAAAGAAAGGAACGGAAAAACACGAGAGAAAGGGGGTAATGACTGAGAAAGAAAGGGGGAAAGAAAGAGGAAAGAGGCAACAAAGAGGAAGGGGACAAAAGAATGGCAAAAACAAAATGGGTTGAAACCGATGACTTTTGGAGGTGTTATTCCACCCCCTCAAATTCACCTTCTGAAAAATGGGGGATGAAGTGGAAGGCTATACACACCTAGGCTGCAATATTGGGAAAAGGGGGATTTTCATGCTATAATACGTTCGTCAGATGTAAACACAGTGAATGTTTTAATCAGGTTTCAGTCAAATATACATGAGTATGTGATTTTCAAACACGAGTACATAAGCAAATTTATCACTGTACGAATCACTGGCAATGCAAAATTAATACTTAAACCAAAGAGTCTTTAAGCGAGTCTAGCTGCACGATGGAGTGGACTTAAAACCAAATTTTGTCTCTGTAATTATACATAATCATATTTCCTCATTCACAGCCTTTCAAGCACAGCCCACTGTTAAGGTACCAACGAAGTCGAACAAGCAACAAACATTGCATTCGTTTTTTAGTGCACCTGGCTCTAAAAGGTAACTAACTGTTAATACATGCAGCAGCAACGTTTTTGATGAGAAGAGTATTTACTTAATTGATAAAAAATGATATATCTATTTACCCTTAACATGGTAAAATCTCGTTCATAGGAATTACAATTTGGTCCAATGAATATCTGAAAACCACAAAACGTGGCACGCTCTCTCTGCCATTTAAACAATGGGTCATCTCAAATCTCGAGTTTCTGAATAACAAAAGATTTTGTTTTGTTCACGTTTCTTGTATTGTTAAATTGCGTCATAGATTGCCAGTTACATAAGAAAGCCGGGCTCTTTTGTTACCAAGGCGTTACTGTTACCCAATAATATGGAGGGACTCCCATTATATTTAACTATAATAGTGAGCTGTTAGGAATCCACTTGAAAAACGAAAATCAATTCGACTTCTATCGAGATGTTAAAGGATGGCAAAATTTTTTAATGAGGCCAGAATATCAACATCTTAAGTGACCTAATGAAATATAATCATTGATTACATTCTTGCAATTTAGTTAGTGCCAAGAGTCACTCAGATGCTGTCATGGCCCTGAACCAAATGGTTGCTTTTGAACGAGGTTTTACAGTTTACTTATGTATTTTATTTATTGTGTCATTGTAGATCTTTGAATCGCAACTTCCAAACTTTGGTGTCTACATCACCAACATTGCAATCTGTGACAGCCTCTTTACCAGCCAGGACTTCATCCCCGATGGCTTCACCTTTTTCTGTATCCATTACGACGACTACCACATCATTTAAATCTTCAGAGCCGACATCTATCTTAACTTCAAGCTCCGCCACTGTTGCAGCTGCAGTACAATCTAGTTCTTCCACATCTGACGCATCATCTGACAACCCACCATTACCAATCTCAGTGCCACAGGACGCATCTGACCAACCAAGCTCTGCAGACAATCGACCTAACCAACCATCTTACCAACCCTATCAACCCAAATATGTCTACTTACCAGTCCAGATGCTAACCAATCGGACATTGAAGTTCCAAACATCATGGTATGACAGGTTCCCTTGGCTCCATGTTGATTATGATATTGGTGTTTCAACTGCTTACAAGCAACAAGACAGCATCTTACAGGAATGGCAAAATGCAAAGAAGATACTTTTGTTAAAGTGGGTTTCAAAAACTGGAAGAAGGCAGTGGAAAAGTTCCAGAATCATGAAAGGTCTTATGCCCATAAACTGTCAGTAGCTAGCCTTATTGCGTGGAATAAGTCTGATGGGGTCGATGTTCAACTGAATAAACAAATGCGGGCAGATCAAGTCTTGGCGCAGAAGGCTCTTTTGAAGATCCTGACATCTCTATGGTACTTGGCTCAGCAAAGACTAGCTATTCGTGGAAAAGATGCGACAGGGGGTAATTTCCGTGCCTTATTAAATTTAAGAGCAGAGGATGATGATAATCTGAAATCATGGCTTAAACAAAAAATATCACATACGTCTCCTGAGCAGCAGAACGAAATGCTCCAACTTATGAGTCACAAAGTACTCAGGGAACTATGTACTGAAATTAATAAGAGCAGTGCTACTAACAAAAGTACATTTGGTATCATTATTGATGGCACACAGGATTGCACTGGTCAGGAGCAAGAGGCGATCTGTATCAGATATGTAGATGTTAACTTAAATGTAAGAGAAGAATTTATAGGCCTGTATCGTATGTCATCTACAACAGGTTTGTCTCTTTGCAAAATGCTAAAGGATGTATTAATACGATTCCAGCTTCCAATCGAGAATCTTAGAGCACAGACTTATGATGGAGCCAGCAATATGTCTGGGATTTACCACAGCTGCCAAGCTGAAATAAAGAAAGTCCAACCCCTGGCATCCTACACTCACTGTGGCGCACACGTTTCACATTTGGTTGTATCGAAAGCTGTCCCTTCATCACCCTTCATACGAGATGCACTAGATTGCCTTCAGGAGCTGGGGAAATTATACAAGGGTTCGGGTAGATTCAAAAATTTGTACCTGCATCCCGATAACGATGATGATGATAATGTGGATGGTTGTCGTAAACCACCAAGCCAGTTAAAACCTATCTGCCCAACACGGTGGCTCACTCGTGGTTCATCTATT